GAGTTTCATAACAGGTAACCGGTACTTTGAACTGTATCCAGAAGCCTTCTGGTTCAAAATTTACCAATTTCATACATCTCTTCAACCACCACTAGATTCATGCTCTGGAGCCTGATTATTTGAGGGCCATTGCTCTCCTATGGTTTCTTGCTGTCATTAAGGTAGGCAGGGTCAATGTCTATCAAACAATGCCCTCTAATGGGACCTAGGAAGTGTGCCTTCTCTGTTGTGATACTGGCCTTCTGGAATAGCATTGCCCCAGAAATCCATGTAGCTTCCACCTTAATATGTTCTAGAAGTCTTTAAAAATGTGGCTCTTTTCCCAGACTCTTTGGATACTTTAAAGCAGGCTTGTCCAACCCGCGGCCCGCATGCGGCCCAGGTCGCCTCGTAATGTGGCCCAACGCCCACCCCAACCTTCGTGAAAGATCCAGCAAGGAGGAGGAGCAGAAGCAGGCGCGAGGCGAGCAACAGAAAAGGCAGGCAGCCGCAGCCCAAAAGTCCCACCCCGCCACCTCCTGCTGTTGCCGCTGCTGCCGCCACTGCTGCTGCTTCTGCCCCCGCCACCACTGCTGCTTCTGCTGCCGCCGCCACCGCTGCTGCTTCTGCCCCCGCCGCTGCTGCCGCCGCCGCTGCATTTGCAGGAGGAGAGGTAGGCGCGAGGCGGGCGAGCTTTCTTCCCTCCCTCCCCCCCGCAAAATTTGGCCGGAAAATTAATAAAAAATAAATAATTTGCAGGAGGAGAGGTAGGCGCGAGGCGGGCGAGCTTTCTTCCCCCCCTCCCCCCCACCCCGCAAAATTTGGCCGGAAAATTATAAAATAAAAAATAAATAATTTTTAATAAATAATTAATAATAAATAATAAAAATAATTTTATTTTATTTTATTTTATGTGCGGCCCAAACCAAATTTTCATCTTCTAATGTGGCCCAGGGAAGGTGAAAGGTTGGACACCCCTGCTTTAAAGTGTCTGGAATTTGTGTCGTCTGTATTCTTGTCAGCCTTCAAGATTTTCTCCCTTTGCTTTGCATCTTTCGGCTGTCATAAGTAACGGGGGGAGGAGGGGGGGAAACTATGGGAAGTGAGCTGGAGGTGTTACAAACTAGAACTGTATAAACTAGGAGGGGAGTACATTCTTGCTTAGGTTTCTATTCCTTGCTTAGCTTTCTCTTCTATGCTATGCGCAGCTGAAAACCTTAATCAAAGTATGCCAAGGTCAACGGACAGAAGCCTCATCACCACCTGGAGATGCCCACATGATGATATTCACAACTTGTAATTGGAAGAACCATTTGAACTACTGGGGGTGGGAACATTGCCATTACTTTGTATATGTGATTTACGCGCCCATTTTCTCAGATTCAGAATTCTTTTGTTGCTACCACTTGATTTCCAGTAAAAGATATCTTTTCTCTAATTAAAAGAGTCTAAGTATTTCTTTCTTGGATTTGGAATGGAGCACCAGCTGACAATTCTTCTGGTTTAGTATTTTTTATTTTTATTTTTCAGTTTAAGATGCCCAGAATTATTTTGGAGTTGGGTGGCCTTAAATTTAATAAACAAAAAGTAAATTCCCAGCTCTTAACAATGGACAATGAAAGATAGGTGAAACTTCCCTTACTGACTTTGTAAGTAAGCATCTGTCCCATTTGTGAGAATTTCACCAAGCAGATATTTTTCTTTGGACACAAAATCTAGATGTAATTTCTTTTCCAACAAATAATAATTATTACTTATGTCTTCCAAAGTCATTCCATGAGATGTATATTGAATCGGGAATCACATTTTAATTTCTTTATTCACACAGACAAAGTCTATCCATGTGTTACAGTTCATTTCCAACCTGCATATTGAAATGTCAGTGTAAGAGACATTCAAAGCAGCAGCTTAGTATATTGGGTGACTAAGGTCTTGTTTATACATTTGGAAGAAAGGACCCATTTCTCCATTTTACTTTTTATGCCTAAGACTTTGAAGTTCTCATAGGAATGTCCCAAGAGAACCTTACTAGTTAGTTCCCGTAAAAGAAAACAACTGAAAAAAGTAGGGCATCAGATGTAAGGGACTGGCTAGTACAGGAAGGTCAAGAAAACATGTGGAAGAATAGGATGTTCAGGACTTGGAGAGCTCCAGGGTAGGAGAAAACTGCCAATATTAGATCAAGGGTCTTCAAACTTGGCAAGTTTATGACTTGTGGACTTCAGCTCCCAGAATTCCTGAGCTAACATGACTGGAGGAAGAATTCTGGGAGTTGAAGTCCACAAGTCTTAAAGCTGTCAAGTTTGAAGACCCCTGTATAAGAAAGTAAGTAGAACTTTCACTCAGTATGGTGCCATTCCATCAAACTGCCATTTTTAAAGCCTTTTCACTTCTTAATATTTTTAAAACATTAAAAGGCGCCAGGCTAGAAAACAAGAGACTGTGAATTCTAACCCTGCCAGAGGCACGGAAGCCAGCTGGATGACCTTGGGCCAGTCATTCTCCCTCAGCCGAACTCACCAGTCACAGGGTTGTTGTGAGGAGAATAGGAGAAAGGTGAGTTATTTGTAATTGTAATAAAATGGGTTATAAATAAATAAGTACGATAACTATAGAAACGGGATCTGGCTAATTTCAAAAAGAACAGATGCATGGCTGGATCCACACGGGACTGGGTAAACCAGATGGAGGGGAAAGAATAAAATCTGCCTTATCTCATCTGCAGTGGGTTCTGCCATGCTGTAATCAAGCTTTGCATGGATGTAACCTCAATATTTCTGCAACCTCTGCCACTTTTGGCTTCAGCTGCTATGAGCGGTCACAGATCATCTTGTAAACAACGTGGCCCTGGCACTCTAATCATGCCACAGAAAGAGGGCTTGCATTTTTGCCTGCACAAGGAAGCTTTATTCTCCGTTCAAGAAAATTACTTTTGAATAGGGTGATTCTTCCAAGCAGATTTCACATTGTTCCACTCTTATAGAGAGAATCTTGCCAAACTAAAGCACTACTATCTACATCATGGGTGTCCAGCCTTTTGGCTTGCCTGGGCCACACTGAGTGAAGAGGAATTTTCTTGGGCCGCATATAAAAATGTATTACATACTTAACGTTTGTAAACCATGTAACAAGGTTAAAAGTTTATGATCTTGGGGGGTTGCATTATTAGCTTTCCAGGGCTGCATGCAGCTTGCAGCCCACAGATTGGACATAGGTGATCTACATCAAGCACATACTCGGAACTATTAGGGAGGAGCTGTCTTCACCCACTTTCACTCACACAAATTATCTGAAATGAGCTATCTTTTGCACCTCTGATTCCTCATGAGAATCTGGCCCACTATATGCCACCACATAAATTTGTAAACCTTGGCATGTTACTTACAGCGACTGAAATAACTGTCACCGGTTCTAATTTGGACATAACTTCCCAGAAGAAGAAAAAAGTGGAAGAGAAGAACTAAAGAGAGAAAGAGAGAGAAAGAGAAGAAATAGAGAGTTTAATACTTGGTCTTTCTTTGTGTAGCAGATATTAACTGATGGTACATAACATTGTGAAAGTACACCCACTTAATTTACTAGCCAAATCTTAGAGATTTGTTCTCTCCAGCCAAGTGACATCCAATCCAGCTATTTCAACAAAAGGATTTTTTTCCCCAGAAAGATTTCTCAATCAGTAAGAAATATATACAGCTTTCTGAACTCAAAAAACCCTGAAAGGGAAGCACCACATATTGGAGAAACATATTTGCAGACAAAAAGGTTCAGCTAGGCCCAGATACGACCAATGAAAAAGACACTCTGATTTGAAACACCAAACAATGCCGGGCAATCAGACTAGGAACACTGAGTTGAGATGGATTGCCGGTTTGCCTCCAGGTAATGTTTTTGTACTTCAAAAAAAAAATGTTTGCATGAATTTATCCAATTTTGCACACACCAAATCCATAGGCAAAAGGGAATTAAGCCATGCGCTTATATTCAACTTTTTAAAAAAGTAGAATAATATTAAGGAAAAGTGCCACACCAATGCATATTTTGAAACAAAGCCTTCAGGAAGAGTGCAACACACAACCACTGGAAGTTGTGTAGAAAATCCATTCAACTGTCCCCTCTCCAAATTTCCAACCTAACCAGGAAATGGGTCCAAACCGAGTTGAGATTAGGAATACAAGAAACTGAGCCATCCTTGTGTCTTTTCTTGAAATCTTTGTTTAGCAATTTCTACAGAAATGTCTACCCTTGCAGACTAAACACCCACTTCCAAGCCAGCTTTAAAAGTGATGACACAGCAATAATTTGATCCCAAGCTTTGGTATTCTGAATTTTGATTTGACTGCCTTGGATTTGGCCAGAATTTGGCCAGGAAGTCAGCATTCACAAACAACCACCTTCCCCCCCTCCCAAACCCTCTTCATTTTAGGCTACATTAGTTCTGTTTGCCTTCTGGTTTTCTGTTTTGCTGGAATCCAAACACCAAGCAGGGATTCACATGTAACTATTTCTCCAATCTTTCTTCTGCTGACAGCCAGACCTCAAACTAAGCAGAGCTTTCCCTCTTCCAGAAACTCCATGCTCGAGAGAAAGGGACAGCCACAGAAACTTCAAGCCTTCCACATTCTTAAAAGAGGCTGATTTTTTATTTTTTATTTTTTTTGCAGACCGAAAGCCATGCACAACCCAGAAGGTCTGCTTGATGCCCAACCTTCAGGAAGTAAGCCCCCCCTCCCTTCCTCCCATTGTCCCGAGGGGCAGGGGAGGGAAATGAGATCTGAAGGCACCTGCCCCATTGTTCAAAGCAGTGGCTGCATTCCCAGCCCTGCTTCCGGCCCTTTCGACTTCAGCCCTTACTTTCCACCCAACAAAGCGAGAAACCCAAGAGAGGGTTGGGGCTGGGGGCTGGGGGTTCCTTGCATTTTGTCTTCCTTGCCTGGGATGGAGAAGAAAGAAGAAAGGTGGGAAGACAGCCCCCTTCCCTTCCCTTTCCCCTCTTCGATCCCCACCCGCCTCTGCATACATACGTGCGACGGGCTCTCCACGATCCCGAAGTTTCTCTCCCTGCTGCGGACTTCCTCTGGGGCGGCGAGACGGCTTTCCTCGCAGGACCGCCGGAGGCATGTTGAGCCCAGCAGAATCTGGCCGGAGTTTGGGTTTTTTTGGGGGGGGGTTCCCCCCCTGTCCCCCCCGCTTCCTCCTTTCCACGGAGAGGACCGCAAAGCCAATTAACCGGAACCGCTGCAGGCTACACTGCACACACGCACGGACGGGGTGGAGCAGGGTGTGTGTGTGTGTGTGTGTACGGGGGGAGGGTGGGAGGAAGGCGTGCGCCCTCCCCCTCCCCCACCCTCCCGGATCCCCTCGTGCAGCCGAGCCCCTCCTCCCCCACTTCCCAGCGAGACAATGGCTCACTCCGCCCGGCTTTTTTGTGGCCACTGCAGGAGGCAGAGCTTTTAGCTCTCCGAGGCCCCCTTCCCTCCCTCCCTCCCTCCCTCTCCCCCTTCCCCAGATCCGGTGGGCAGGTGGGACCAAACGGGCTTTCGCTTCTCTCCAAAGCCCCCGACTTGGAGAAGAAGTCCTGGCAGAAGGGTGGGGGGCGCCCCTTGGGGATCCGAGCCGTTCTGCCGAGAGCGCAAGGCGCTAGCTCCAGCAGAGCGAGCCGGGAGGGTGGGAAGCCCCTGTCCCGCCCCAGGCGGGGCTACATCCTACACCCCCCCCACCTCCCTCCCCGTCTTCCAGCCGCCCCAATCAGGGACCGGCAAGCCGGAGTGGGTGGGGAGGGGAGGGGAGAGAAAGGCAGGGAGGGGAGGAGGGGGGTGCGAGCCCGCCCTCCTCCTCCTCCTCCTCCTCTTACCGGAGCGCATCCGAGCAAGAGGCCTGCCTCTCCGTGCGGGCTCGCACAGCGCCTCGGGCGCGGACCGGGGCAGCGGAGGAAAGGCGAGCACGGTGCATTAAGGCTCCAGACCTCTTTGGCAGCCGGGCAAAGATGCTCCCCGCCCGGGACGGCAGCGGCGGAAGACGCGGAGAGACATCCGGGCGGGGTGGGGTTCGGTTCGGTTGGGTCCCAGGGCAACCCAGCCCCGCGCTGCCTGCCACCCACAGTCCCGGCCTGCTTTGCCGGAGGGGTGGGTGGGTGGGCTGCAGGAACAAAGGAAGCAGCGGATGGATAAGGGTCCCCCCCCTCTTTCCCGGCCAAGAGAAGGGCTTTGAGGATGCCTTGGGTTGGCCTCTCGAGCTGGACTGCGGCGAGGCTGCCTTGGCTCTTCACGCGTTAACTGGACCCGAGCACGGGTGGGCCGGGGTTTAGGGCCACGTGGGAATCTTCTTTGGTGGTTGTGGGGAATGGAAGGGTTGCTTTTCTCTTTGCGCTGTTGAGGTCCGCTCAATTCGGGCACTGACTCTTTTATTCCTGGGGAGTGAGGAAGATTTCCCGCTCCCCCGGATCTGATGGGAAATGCCCAGCTGCCCTGTAGATGGGACACCCGAGAGGATGTCCCTTGTAGGCCAGGATAGTCCTGGCCATAAAAATACACCCGTGGTTAACCCTGGTGATTCCTAACCAAACATAGCATTTTTGTGCTAATCCATCAGGCCAGGGTTTTTTTCCCTTTCCTTTCCTTCCCTTCCCTTCCCTTCCCTTCCTTCCTTCCTTCCTTCCTTC